TTTATATGAGATTATTATTTATTTACTAGACTTGCAAAAAAAAGTGAAAAATACTTCAAAATTAAAATGTTTTAATAAAGTATTATAAAAAAATATTAAAAAAATAATTTAATTCATACTTTAAAAATATAATATTTTAATCTTTTTCAAATGAAAATTTATTGAAACGACTTTTTTTTGTGATGATTTCCCTAAGAGACTAGGCGGATAGGCACTATTCTCATTTTTTTTAATGCAATTCAAATGTTAAAATTACTAAAATATTTTTAAGAAACCATTCTTCATATTTATTCATTAAAAATATTTTGATAATTTCAATACTTTTCACAAAAAAATAAAAAACAATCTATATTCCAAAACACTTTTCTCAAATGAATATATGCATAAAAAAATTCTGATTCAAAAAGGAAAGAAATAATAGCACGAAATCAAGTTATTATTATTGAGATATTATTTTACTCCCAAAAACAAAAAAGTTCTTCTTCTTATTATTATTATTATTATTTGTGTGTGCTATAAATGTAATAAAATTAACATAAAACTTGTACACAAACAAAGTAAGAGCATGTGCTCAAACATTTAAACAGCATCTGAGGGTTACAGTATGACTTCCAAGTTAGGACAATTTTAAGATACGTTTTAATTGCCAAATCCAAGAGTATGTGATCCCTAATGCACAATAAATTGAAATTAACATAAGAGGTATGAAAGGGAACCTATCACCAAGAAGGTAATGATGTAAAATTTGACCCCATAGCTCAACAACCAAAAGACCAAATAGGTAACTCTTCCCAATCCAGCCAATGCCAAACCCTTCTTTCCCACCAGTAGTGCTACGTTTTCCCAACCCAGCAGACTCTTTATTTGTGATCTGTTCATCTTTTTCCGAAGCTTCATCAGTGGTAAATTGTGCCGAGAAACCGAACCACATTAGGATGGAGTGTAACAGCAGCAACAACACTTTTATTGGGTATTCTTGGGTTTCATATAGGAGTGGAAAGAGTGAATAGCAAGACACTGCATGGCATATGCAAACAAATATCCCAAGTCAGTATGCAAATTCAACCTTTTCCATCTATAGGCTCATAGTTTAGTCATCAAAATAACAAAGGGATATATTGTTATAATATTATTACCAATAGATAGCAAGAAGTAGTGCTTTGCATCTTCTAAGCTTTCCACTGCAACAATGGCAAGGGGGATAACAAAGTGGAGTGATGCTTTCTCATGGACATGCCATCCAAATATGAAACCACACGTGTAGGCATATGCTATCCATCTAGCAATCAAACGTGGCTGGGGATCTCTCCAAGCCTGAACTAAACAAGGAAATAACCCAAGCAGGACTGTGATGAAGGTTGTGAGGGGGGTGATCTGCCATTTCATCAATTGCATTGTAAGTATAGGCATTATGCATTGAGTTGATTAAGGTTCCAGTACAAACAATTAAACAAACTAGTCAAGCTTTTGAATGCACTTACCTGAGGTAGTATGGCAAATGGTGATGAATCACCCACTAGCCCTCCAGTGAATGAAGCTGTGGGTGCCTCTATGTGAAACCCAAGTTTTCTGAGCAAGAAAGCAAGCCCTTTATCTAATATGATATAAAATACCCAGAAATTAGGAGCCCAGTATGCATGACAGAGTCCCCTGCCAAAAGGAAACATGCGGCGGATGACTTGTTGAATCTGCAAGGCATCAGCTAAACACTTAATGCAATGTGTAAAATAAAACAACAGGTAATTGATGATTTCAGCTATAAGTCTTCACACACAACAACATGAAACCTGAAAAAATTATTAAAGGGTGCATTTCAAATGAATGAGAGGGGGGGAGAGGGGGAGTAGATTAGAACAGGTGCATACAACTTGGAGTCAAACAAAAAAAAGGCACTTCAACAAGTGAAATAAAGGTCAGCGTTCAGTGTTCACTTCACTCCTCATCCCCCCTCCCCCACTTCCCTCCGTCCCACAAATACGCACAAATTCTCCAGTTCTTTGAGCAACTTCTCTCTAATCGTAAACCAATTAATGACTCCCTAAATTCAAATGTTTTCAGTATTAACATGGAAAATAGCAAAGTTTATAGATAGACACAACAGCCTGACATGTTTTCATTATGCATTCAACGATGCCCTAATTCAAGAATATTGATACGAAATCTATCATAATGCACAACTTTTCCACCGTGCTTTCTTGGCTACTGCATTTAAATGAATCGCAAAGTGCACAGAGCCATGCCACATTTCTGATGATTAACCCAAAAGAAACAAAAGGGAAAATTTTTTGCACAGTAACTCAAATTCGAAATTTAAAGTTGCAAAACTAGAGGATGGGTTACCTGCCCATGATACAAAAATGGACCATAAGCAGCTGCAAAAACCGCCACAACCATGGCCCCCATAACTGAAAGCCGGCCAAAACCCCAAACAAATCCACCCCTACAGTAATGCCTGAGCAAGTAAATAAAATAAACAGGAGCAGCCACTGCAAACAAATGCTTAAAACAGAGCAGAACCGCAAACAAGAAACCACCCATCAAGTCCCTTCCTTCCACCAAAAATGAAATCGACAATAACAACCACCCAAGCAGAAACCCATTGTACTGAAAGTGTACATGGTCTACGATTAACAACCCTGGAGACCAAATTACCAATACCCAGATCAAATTCCGCTTCAAGGAATCCAAATTTTTAGACAATCTGTAAACCCCATATAGAAGCAACAAATCCGATAAAATCACAGTAATTCTCTGGAAGTAAATAACAGAACTTCCTTTGTAATTGAGGCCATTGTGAAGGTGGACGATCTGAGGGTCGACGAGATTGGCAAAGATGGAAAGGAAGCGCTCGAAGTTAGCGAACAATGGAGGGTAATCGAGGGTCCATTCGCTGGTCTCATCGAAGTACCATGAAGAAAGAGGGAGCGAGTGGGTCAGGGCCAACCAGTGGCGATGGACCTCGAAGTCTGTGCTGTGGTAAGATGGGATCAGCAAGAGCTTTACCGTTGCTGCTACGGCGAACCACCAGAGAAGCTGCGGCAGTGAGCTTTCGCCCAGCATTTTCCACGCTGTGAGGTCTCTGAATCTCTGCAATTTCAAACTCTGTTATCGAAGTCGCTTGTGCGAGAAGTAGGATCACCGGATCTGATGGTCCATGCCAGGAACGACGACGCTTTTTGCGCGGCGGCGCGGCGAGGCAAGGCAGCAGCTGTACTTCCTTCCTCTTTTATACGACGGAATGTGCTCCCCGGACCAACGACGACCCGCCGGCCTCCGCTGACTCGGCCCGGGTTTAAAGAGCTTTACGATGCAAGCCCATTAATCTAGGGCGGGTTAGGTTGGTCCAGGGAAAGACAGGACCAAATGAAGAAGCCCAGCCCAGATTCAAAGACATGGAGGTCCGAGGTGAGAGGATCCACTCCATTTCTCGCGTCACAGTTTCCAGAGTGAAGAAAGTCCAAAGCTTTCGGTGCCTTCCTCTCTCTCCCTCTCTCTCCGACCTAGCGAGACCCGAGCGACTTCAACTTCTCCGACCATGTTGCGGCGTGCCACTGCCTTGCTGGGCAGATCGGTTCTAGCTGGGAGATCTCGATCCTTCTCTACCGATCTGCCGGCGGCTCAGACGGCGGACCCCTCATTCGTTGAGGCATGGAAGAAAGTTGTTCCAACCGCAGAGCCGCCTAAAACTCCTCTTGCCTTCATGAAACCTCGCCCTCCCACTCCTTCCTCGATTCCGACCAAGCTCACTGTTAATTTCGTGCTTCCCTACGCCTCTGAGTTGTCCGGCAAAGAGGTAACATTTGCCCCCTTTTGCCTTCTCGATTGATTCAATGCGGTGTTCATTTGTGGTTTATTCTAAATTTATGATTTGAATTACTCTGCAATTCATTTGAATTTGGTGTATTATATATTCTGTTATTTGGGATTTTGTAAGTGCAGGTTTATACATAGTATGGGAGGAGTTTTTTGTTTTTAGATTTACTATTAAATTTTAATTTTGAATTTTGACCCTTTAATGTGTCATTTCTATGGTGGTGACAGTCCCTGTGGATCATTAGTTCTATAAATTTGAACACTTCAACCTTTTAGAGGAAAAAGTACACCTTTTTTTTTAGGAGTAATTTTTTTTGGATGGATGCAATGTGATATGCCTATTGATTGGTTACAAATTCTGAACCAAACTTCAATTCCAAGGGATAATAGGGGTATGCATTTTGGAGCAAATTCTCTATTCGTAGTGTGTGGAACATTTACTTTCATGTTGCCATTGCAAATTGGTTCTGGAATCCTTATAAAGGAGGAGACTTTCTTACTTCTCCTGCTTTGTCCTCCATGACCATTTCTTGCTAGGTTGTTTCTTTCATTCCATGCCCATTTTTAACCTTACATAGAATCAGGTGAGGATGTTGCTTTATACTTTATGGCTTATCAGAGTTTGTGGTAAGCTCTTATGCTTATCTTGTCGAACAGACATTTTGCAGCATTGTGATTTCTGATTTGAGTTGGGGAATTTGAATAACATTCATAAAGATTGAACCCTAACTTAACAATAAAGGGAATCATTAACTTCTTTTCTCATAAGGGAAAAAGCCTCAAACAGAAGCAACAAATAGCAGAAGTTAAAAATTTCTATTTCATAAGCCTCTGTTATTATTATTATTATTATTATTATTATTATTATTAGTTTTAGAAAAAAGAAAAGAGGTAATTTCTTCATGGTGTCTAATTGCTGCCATATTGGAGCCTGTAATAGTTAATTAGGTGATATCCATGATAGCTAACTTTGTGTTTTTTTGCAGGTTGACATGGTTATAATACCGGCCACAACTGGACAAATGGGTGTTCTTCCAGGACATGTAGCAACAATTGCTGAGTTGAAACCTGGGGTCTTATCAGTCCACGAAGGAGATAAAGCGACAAAGTATTTCATCAGCAGTGGTTTTGCATTCATCCATGCCAACTCTTTTGCGGATATAATAGCCATTGAGGCTGTGCCGCTTGACCAGATTGATGCAGCCTCGGTACAGAAGGGGCTTGCAGAGTTCACCCAGAAGCTGAGCTCAGCCACAACAGAACTGGAGAAAGCTGAAGCCCAAATTGGAATAGATGTGCATAGTGCTCTCAACTCGGCCATCACAAGCTAGTGTTGTGAGTTCTTCGGTTTAATCATTTCTCATTTTAATTCTCTTTGATGCTGCCTCATTGATGCGTAGATTTGTCCATGGATCTGGATCGAGTGTTTTGCTCTTTTATTTCATGTTGAATGCAGAACAAATATAAATAATCCTTCAATGGATTTTACCTGGTTTGCAGAAAAATGAAGGAACTTTTAAGAAACAAGTAGTCATATTGTCTCCATCCTTCCGTGACCCTGCTTTTTTTCGGGTGTTAGTAAAATTCCTGAGCTTGATACTTTGCATAAAAGGTAAAATATCCAAATCCACCCCCCAAAGCAGGACGGATTCACTCTGAATAAAAAATGAGGTTGAATTCACTTACAAAGTTTTCAATTTGAACAAATCACTCCAAACTTAACATGTGATTTTATCTGACGTTAGTAATTCGTTAATTTGTTATGTTGTTAATAACAGATTGTTGACATTAGATAACGTCATATTAATCAATTATTGACATCAAATGATATTCCATGTTAAATTTAGGGTAATTTGTTAAAATTGAAAATTTTGTAAGTAAATTTATTTTTGTTTTTTGTTTATGATTCTGTTACTATACTTTTGGAGGTAGATTTGAAAATTCTGCCCGGATAAAATGCTTGACGTAGGATCTGAACGTCAATGGACATTAAAGGGGTACTGGTTAATCATTTTCTATAGAAATCTTCGGAATGCTTTTCTCTTTTCTTTTCTTTTTTTTTTTCTTTTTCTTGAACAGTGCTTGAAGAGCATCGGAGGGGTTTTTTTTTTTTTTTTCTTCTAATGAAAGTGAAATTCCAATCACATACCTTAAATTAATATGGGAAGGTCTTTATAAAAAATTATTAGTCATTAAACCAGAAGGCAGGGCTTTGGAAATGGAGGTTTATGTGATTGTCGTTTCTTTAAACATAATGATGCCTAAATGAAAAAGTGAATTGATGGGATTCTTTTTTTTAAAAAAAAAAAAAGGAGGAAGAAAAAGAAGTTAAATTGATGGGAAAAGATCTGTAGATTTTTTTCTTTTCTTTTCGTTTTTTAATACAACTCTCTGGCAATGATTTTGGATATTTTTAAATTCCACTTGGTGATTAAATAATATCTGTGAATGGGAGTCCTCTCATTTTCATGACTTATTTCTCTTTCGGGAATCGAAGGGAGGATTTTTTCTCTTAATGGCTTTATTAGTGTTGCTGTTGATGAGTGTTGGGAAAAGAAAATAGAACTCCATAAACAATCACATAAAAACAAAATGAAGTTCACAATCTAACCAAACATCCTTTTTTTCTAAAAAAAAAAAGTGTGTTTCAGTGGTCTAAATTTTTCCGAGATTTTCTATATTTTCGTGTGGAGATGTCATTTGATGAATTTACTTGTATTTCAAAACAAATATCTCTTTTGATAATTTTAAAAGTATGTTTTTTTTTAATAATTTTGTAAGAGGTTGGATTTGAACCGTTGTTTGAAAGGAAAGAGACGTAATTAAACGTGACTTGATATCATTGGACCCGAAGGTCCGCATGCATCCTAACATCAAGTTTGGTACAAAAAAAAAAAAAAAAAAGAACACTTTTCTGAGACATCAACCTAAGTATAGTTTCTAAAACAATAGATCTAATTATTGAGGTGACCGTCCGAGGTTATAATAATTATGCAGTGATTTCCAAAGCTCGTGTTAAATTAAAGCTGGTTAAAACATGTAGTAAAAATCTTGGATAAGAGTAGGAACTTTGTTGTCTCAATGAAAAATTGGTGAGTTAAATTGATTTATTGATTTTATAATTTTGAAAATGGATTAATTTTCTCTTTCTCATTTAACCATATAGTTAAAACTCATGTTTAAAAATTCTGGTAAAATTCCTACCAACAACCTAAATATCTCACTAATTATTTGTTTACATTTATAATCTAAATAGGGTCTAAATTCTACTCATAATGCTAAAAAAAATGTTGTAGATTTTAGTAGTAAGGCTTTAAACCAATGAACTACCAATTTTTATAACAAGATATTTGGTGAGTAATTTGAAATTAACTATTAGTAATTGAATTAATTAGATGAATGAAAATACTTAAAATGCATATAAATAATAATAACAAATTAACAATCAATCATCAAAAATTCATTATCTACCATTAATGTATTTAAATCACTAATCAAAAACCTCTAAACAAAACATAAGACTTTTCTAAAGCTAAAAAGCTCATTCTTTTATAGTACAAAGTAGTATAAAATTATTACTGTAAGTTAGTAAGTTAACATTAAGTTACCATTAATGTACATTTTTTTTGGTGTAAAAAACATTGTTAGTAAATTAACATTTATTCGAATACTGATTAAGAATTCAACTTGATAATCATGTGTTGCACTCTACTTTTTTACACAAAAGAAGCATGGTCACTTGGGGCAGGGGGAGTGCCAAAAAAAAAAAAAAAAAGACACATATTCATTATTAGAGTTTGAGCCCACAGATTGGCTATAGAGGGTGGTCTTTTTTTTTTTTTGTTGTAATTTTCAGATTGGCTATAGAGGGTGATCTTTTTCTTTTTTTTTTTCGTTGTAATTTTCAGCCAGGTTACCCAAACACAATGGCTACCATTGTCGTCCACACACATTTTAATGCAGCATTGGCTCCAGCATGGGTGCGAGTGGAGGAAATGCCCCTGTGGTACCACCCCACCAATAATTGTAGCACCGTCGCGACAACCCACCATGGCACAATAATCAGCCGTATTGCCTTCACTCCCTTTGGTAATCGTGAACCCCTTTTTTCTCTCTCTTTTTTTTTTTTTTAATAGAGTAATATAAAGATAATTTTTTATATAATTTTTATATATTTTTAAATAAATAAATAAATTTAATATTATAAATTTAAAATAAATAAATAAAATTAATTATTTAAATAATATATAAAATTATATTAATTAATAATACAAAAAATGATCATTAAATTATTTTTTTTGGTCTTTTAATAGTGAGCCGCCACGTAGTTCGTGCAAATAATTCCAACGCTGTTCCGGTGGCGACATGACTAGCACACACGTGTCCCGGCTAACCCATACGTGGTAGACGTTTTGTGGCGGGGGTGGGGACTGGGGTCGGGTGCGGGGACGCCCTGCCCGGCGTAGTGGACGGGCAGTGGTCGTGGGCCCCGGAGACAAGGACCCTAGGAATTTGTGCCAGCAAGATTTACGTTATAAAAAATGATTTTAAAATAATTTTTTAATATAATTTGACGTGTTATTTAAATAATTAATTTTTTTATTAATATAAAATTATAATATTAAATATATTTATTTATTTAATAATATATAAAAATATCCATAAGTAAATTGATGAGTTGATAAGAAATTTTTTTAATTTTATCAAAAATTTTAATTTTAAACCTAAAAATGCAACTCTATTAAAATTTTGGGAAGGAAAATTTTACTACCCGTTGAATTTATCCGAATCAAATTCAGATTAATTGATAACTCAATGAATTTTTAAATATCAAGTAGTTTATAAAAAAACATATATATAAATTATATAAAAAATTATATTTATAATACCATCTTTATATTATATTATATGCCCTGCCCTCTGCCTCATGTGGGGCCAAAATCCGATGGCTATTTTGTGCTGATTGTGGGGCCTACGTCTACTCAGCTCCAGGCTAAGCTTGGGTTCATTGTTTTTCTTCCAAGGGGTGTGGTGGGTCAAACGCATGCTTGACTGACTCGTTGTTGGGTGAATGGTCCCCTTCCTCTCCCGTGTCTGTGCTCTCTCTGGAGAAATCATGAAGAACCCACTTCTTCACTGTTCCATTTGCCCACCAAATATATAAATTTAATTTCTTCAATTTTTTCTTTATAAAGGGAAAAAAAGGGTAAAAACCAAAATATAGTTTCGTGATTAGTATTTCTAGGTACCTATTTTTTTAAAACAAATTGCAATGGTGAGGGAGGAGGGGTTTGAACCCAAATTCTTATTTTAAATATGAAATTTATAATTTAAATATAAAAATGTATCATTTCTTGCATGTTGTTTTAATGACAAATTAATTAAACAACATGCAAGAAAAAAGGAAAATAATTTTTTATTTAAAACCATGGGCAGGCACCTAACCTTTCATGAGCCAGGTTCTTTGCATTCCTAAAACAACTGCGACTGAACTCAAAATTTTAAAAAAGAAAAAGGAAAAAAACAAAACAAAAAAAAAAAAAAAGAAGAAGAGGAAAAACCACTCCATTCGTCCATTGTAAGTAAAATAGAAAGAAAAGGACCTTTCTGAAAAATCTTTAACCTTTCTTTTTAAATAAATTTAAAGTATAATTAAGTGCGATGCATCATGCATTTTGGGGGTCCCACGGATTCGCAGACAACCGTTGGATTTTATTGTCCAATGGAATCGATAAAACTGTGATGGCAAAACGACAATCAGAACCCCACAGAAAAAGCGCATCTGATTGGAGCAGAGCACCATACTAAAATAGTCCGTCGAGTACCTGATTTCCCCAAGTCAACAATTTTCTTTGCCCACTCCGTGACGCAATTACTTTATATTCAGCCACCGCTCTTCCTCCTTACTCTCCTCCTTCTCTTACTCTTCTGCAATTACTCATCTCCTCTCCTCTCCTAGATTTGCAGTTGCATCGTCGGAGCATTTCAGCGACGTGCATCTACCGTTGCTCCACTCAGTAGCTTCTTCTTTATACTTCTTCTGTTTGTAAAATAGTGGCCATGGCTTCGTTCTACAGGATGAGCCTAAATCAGGATGAGCCTCACTTCCTCCATGCATGTTCTCTCTGTCGCAAACCTCTTGGCTTTAACTCCGACATCTTCATGTACAGGTTAGCTTCTTTTTTTTCTTTTTTTTTGATTTCTACATCTTAGAATTTGAATTGAATTCTTCCTCTGTTTAAAAGGAAAAAAGAAAAAAGAAATCTCAGATGTAGATAGACGCGATTTTCCAAATATTGGAGAAAATTGATTTGCATCTGTCTGGTCTCTGTTAAGATGAGAATTTCTGAATCATTCTTGAAAATCTTGTGTTATTAGTTTAGGATGAAAATTTTTGAATCATTTTTGATATATGGTTAATTCTGATGGTTGTTTGGCTGTAATCCATAGTTTTTCTGATTGGAAATCTGGTATGTGCAGGGGAAACACACCGTTTTGCAGCAAAGAGTGCAGACAAGAACAGATACAGATCGATGAAGCCACAGAGAAAAGCCAGAAACTGTCCTCTTCCTCTAGATCGCTCATGAAATCGGAATCCAAGACCTCCTCCACTACTACTACTACTACTTCCGCCCGTAAAAACGTGCGGACTGGCACAGTTGTTGTGGCCTGAAGCATAAAAAAAAAAAAAAAAA